TTCTTCTCTGCATCTGCCACCCCATCCGCTTCATGTGCTTAGACTACTCCCACTCTTCAATAGAGATCTTTATATTTCCCCATAGAAACCAATGGCATCCATTCACCAGCTGAATTCATGCATTCAGCTACAGTTTGATGCAGGGGTGGGATTCAACTTTTTTAACAACCGGTTCTGTGGACGTGGCTTAGTTGGTGGGCGTGGCTTGGTGGTCATGTTATTGGCTGGGCATGGCCAACTCAATATCACTCACATCGAGGCACGCATCTCCTTGCCTGGCCTCTCATGACTGTGGGGATGCTGCAACAGTCGTAAGTGTGAAAAATGGTCATAAGTCACTTTTTTCAGTGACACTGTAACTTTGAATGGTCACTCCACACAAGCAAAGTACCAGCAAAGGAGAGGGGGGAAAAACTCCAGAGACGTTCCGGAGACAGGAAGTCTAGTCCTGCCAAGAATGTAATAAGGGTTAACGGGGAGGCAGTTTCTGTAAGCAACCCCAGAATGTTTCCTTCCTGCTTTCCTTACAGGATTAGGCCAGTAATTTCTTCTAACAATCGGTTCTCTGAACTGCTTAGAATGTTAACAACCGGTTCTAGAGAATAGGTGCGAATCTGTAGAATCCTACCCCTGGTTTGATGACTAAAGTAAAATTAGCTATGTTTATCTAATAGTTTTTTTTTTAATTCATTTGCTGAGCATGTATTAATTAACATATAATTATAATCATGATTATTAATACATGAAATGGATACGAGTAAAAGGGAATATTAGGACGGGCTGGTTACGCCCCAAATCATGCATTATAAACTACAAGAACTGTGTTCATATAATACTCTTAACAGAATTCCAACCCATCCATTTAGGTTTTGATATAATGTGTGGGTTCAAACATTACCCTGATGCTGTTTCTTTAATTTTAGCTTCATGTGCTGGGAAAATTTACATATGTAATTTGTAAATCATGGTTAAAGATTAGTCTCATTACAGCTTAACTAACAAAAGCATTTTCTTCAGTAAATCATGGTTAAAAGCACTACACTATATGTACACCCAATTACTTATATAGTAGGAATCTGGTTTTTTTTTGATGGTGTAAATATTAATACAGAACATATAGTACAGTGATATCTGTACTGATTATTAATTTTCTAATGTTTACATCACTTGGAGTGTTGAAGATAAAAAAAGGACGATCAACATTAATGACAATTTAGGATGTCAATGTCAATGAGCATAAGATTAGTCTTTTTTTTAAAATCCAGGATTGAATGTAACAATTTAAAAAAAGATTAGGCCAATATATTTGTTGGACAATAACATTTTCCAGCTTAAGCTGATCACTTAGCATAAGTTCTCCATTGTACTGCTACTTAATGTTTTTTATACATGTTGATAAAAGAAAAAAGACAGAGCACGTTTAAGAATAATTTGAATTAATTTATTTATTAATGAAAGAAAGAAAGAGAAAGAAAGAAAGAAAGAAAGAAAGAAAGAAAGAAAGAAAGAAAGAAAAAGTTTCTAACTTCACCCTTTCTGAACATCTTATTTAAAATATTTGTAAGAGTTTTTAAAGATATATTCATTGACTCCTCTCCCCAATGAATCTTATCTAATAAATACTTGTTCGTGCCTTTTAAACTACAATTCCCAGATTCCCTTGGAAAAAGACAGTTATTAAATCATTAAGGACATTAAGTGCTAAATTATCCTATTTCTGCAAAGAGGATCTTGACTAAATACAGCAGGATATCAAGAATCTTTTCCTCACTTCTCCTTTTTTCTTGAAAACACGTGGTGGGTGGTAGAAAAAGGTCTTTTGAAGCCTATTTTTGCTTCTATCCTTTCTTCAAACTCCCACTTGTTGCCAAAAGGGTTGTTTGGCTGTGATTGACACAAACCATGCAAATATCGCAATGGTTCTTCCTCTATCCCATTGCCTGCCTCCATCTACATGGTAAGTGTTTGAGAATATCCTCCCCCTCCAAAACTGGTTGATTATGTTTGTTTTGGGCAGTTATTGTAGTCACAAGGGAGTATTTGATTTGGCTTTTTAAAAATATTATAGGGAAAGGGAGCGCTTAATGAGAGAAGCAGGGTTGTGTTTAAAATGCCTTTATGAATGAATGTTGTCCAATCTGTTATTTACTTGAAAGTAAGCTCTATCAGACGCAGGGGGGATTACTAATGAGTAATACACATCTATGGTCCTTTTTACATAACTGGCTTTGTTTAGGAAAGAATGCCTCCAATCCTAGGAAGCAACTCACAAACAAACCAGCTTCCCCCTTTTCCTAGCCAAACATCAGTATTCAAGAGGGATTAGTCAGTTTTCCTTAAAGAAATGAAAGGAGTCCAGATGGCACGGAATGAAAGGAGTCCAAATATAAAATTTGTATTTTGACTCCCCTTGTTTTTAAAATATCCTTTTTTTCCCATTAAAACCATAATTAAGCATCTTTTGGAAAGATTTGGAAGGAAGGATTCAGGCAGCCCCAGGGCTTCTGTTTTTATAATTTCTTGCTGTGCGTGGTTCCCAGCTGCCAAGAGAAAGCTCTTGACTCTGGTTGCTTATAAAATGGCTTATGAAATATTGATTCTTCTGCATCATAATGGCTAAAGGGCCTTTCGCTTTCCTGACCCTGATGGGTTTTCCCTCTCAAAAGCAAGTCTGAATTTATCCCAGTGGCCCTTCAATTATTGTATTACAACATGTTTACGATTTAGGTAATTCAAGGAGTAGTATTTGTCTCGTTCCCTCCTAAATGCTCAGCAAAACGCTTTGCAGGTGATTAAACACGACACTTCTGAGCCTTTATAAATTCTCTTTCACTAGTGGTGGGATTCAAATAATTTAACAACCGGTTCGCCTAGGGTCAGGTTGGCCGTTGTGGGAGGTGTGACCCATCCCCATTCTCCAGCTCCACTGCACATGCGGGACGAGCCTCCTGCAACAGCCAACCTGACCCCGGGTGAACTGGTTGTTAAATTACACCCCCCACCCCACCCCCACCGCTATCAAAATTCATCCTGGGCACTGTGCTGCAATAGAGAAATGGGGAATGAAGCGACTGGCACAAGGGAAGGAGGAGGAGCAAGGAGAAGAAAGAGGGAAAGCGGCCTTCTTCCCTTGCACCAGTCACTGTGTTGCCCATTTCTCCATTGCAGTGCAGCACAGCACCCAGGATCCACTTTGATTGCTTTGATAACGTTGATTGAATGACCAGTTTGTGTGAACCGGTGTGAACCAGCTGAATCCCATCGCTGCCTTTCACCCCATGGACTCTCTTGCCAGTTATCAAAAGCACCTTTTACATCCGGAATTCTGAGTCATCTGATATTTCTGGAGAATACAGATAGTCCTTGTTTGGTGACCACATCTGGGGCCAGCAACTTGGTCATTAAGCATAGCAGTCACTAAGTGAAACTTATAATCGTACTTCAGCTTTTCCTGGCTTTCTACAGACCTATGAGGATCATCAAGGCAAGAATTGGTTGAAAAGTTACGTTTTCATCACTATCATTAACTGAATGGTTGCTAAACGAGAATTACCTATATCTTTAAATGACTGCACAAATTTGCCAGTGGATGTAGCTCTGTCCAGTGAAATTTAAAAAGTTCACTAAGCCACTTGCCCCCCCTAATTTTATTTTTTAATTTATTTTAATAAAAAAATGAATAAGAAGTTACCATTTTGGGAATTTAAGCCCTAGCCTCATGCATAACTTGTTATTTCAACAAAGTTTCTGGGTCCTACATAATTATAAACTTTAGACGTGTTATTAAAAAACAACATGGTGGCTTACTTATCAAGCCAGATTTGCATGTCTTCCAGCGTGCTTAGTGATTAATTACTGCGGTCAACATTGTGTGAAATTACTCATAACATTGTGAATGATTGCTTTATATTCTTATCTGTAGAATCTTTGATTTTTAGTTCAGGCTTAATGGTTTTCAGACAGCCTTGGAAATATTGTGTTTCCCCCCAAATAAGACCCAATGGGAAAATAAGCCCTAGCATGATTTTCAGGATGCTCATAATATAAGCCCTACCCCCAAAATAAGCCCAGTTAAGATGGATGCATTTAGTGCCGTATTTCCTCGAAAATAAATAAGAACCGAACAATAATCCCTAATGTGTCTTTTGGAACAAAAATTAATATAAGACCTGGTCTTATTTTCAGGAAAACATGGGTAGCATTAAACTTCCTTGAGAACATTATTAAATTTTATTTTTTATTTTTTTTAAAAAAATCTTGCATTTATATTTTAAAAAATAATTTCAAGGTGGTGAACATACCTTATGTTCCTTTCTCCTATTTTCCCCACCCAAAAATGGTTACTGGATGAGTGGTTGTTAACTCAGGACTATCTATAATTCAGATCAAATTCTCACTATTTCTTGGACAATGTGCACAATGTTTTTCTCCTGTTACTTTCCGTCTGCCTGTCTGAGAATCACACTAGGAATGTGTGATGTTTACACCTTTCATTTTATGTTCTTCTTTCCCCCTGAGTCCAATGAGGTACATGCAGTGCTTCCTCTGTTGCTGAACATTCTCATGGTTTGTCATGGACAATTTATTTGTTTCGTTCAATTTCCATTGATTTCATTCACACAATGAATGGTTTAGAAAGATTAGGAAATTTTCCACAGTGTATATTCCTGGCACAGGGCTGGTTTATTGCATAATAGAAATTGAGGCACCTACAAATGCCTAGAGAGGAAAAGTGATGTATGTAGACTCCCTTAGCGAAGCAACGGTCATAGTTTTGGAAGTGTCATAGAACTTTAAGAACAAAGTATCTCAGAGTACAAATTCCTTAAGAACCATCACTGCTGGTTAATTGGTCCCAGACTTCCCACAAAAAAATTACTTTCACAGTGTTTCAGAGTTCAGAAACGGGCAAGTTAAGTGGAAGAGAGGAATGGCAGACGTCTTCTAATGAACAGCTATCTGAGAACTTTGCTCTTTCTAAACCACTGGACTTTGAGAGGATGGAAAGAGGTAAGGTTGTCCTTCTTAATATCTTTTAATATTTACAATATTTATCCAGGCGTATCCATGAGCGTGAGTGTGCCCAAAAATCAAGGTGGAAGTCATAACTACAATTGAAGTCTGCCCTTTTTTTTACATGCTTTGCACACGTGGTACGTGAGAAAGTGGCAAGATTTCATATGGATGGTTGCATCCAACATCTTTTTTTTACTTCTGCTGGATATCCCTGGCTTTATGTACAGGTAGTTCTTGACTTACAACAGGGGTGGGTTTCAAAATTTTTAACAACGGGTTCTCTACCCAGCTGCTGGCTGGGTCTAGACATGGTGGGTGTAGCCTAGTTGGCCTCCTGCACCACAGTGTGTGTGTGTGGGGTGTTTTCACCCTCTTGGGCTCCGGAGGTTTTCCTTGAGCCTCCGGGAGGGTGAAAATGGCCTCCCTGGGCTCTAGAGGCCCTCTGGAAGTGGAGTCAGACCCATTTCCGGCCTTCTGGAACTTCCAGGAGGCCCATTTTTCACCATCCCCAGCCTCCCATTTTTCACCATCCCCAGCCTCCCATTTTTCACCATCCCTTGAGCCTTCAGGAGGACAAAAATGGCCTCCCCAGACTCTGGAGGCTGGAAATGGGTCCATCTCTGGCCTTTTGGAGCTTCGAGGAGGTCCATTTTTTGCCCTCCCTGAGCCTCCACATGGGCCCTGTTCTTACCTGGGATCCAAAACCAGCTGCGTGGGGACTCCTGGGAGCGGTCGGGTGGGGTGGGGTGGGCAGGGCCAGCCAAGGATGGGATTTGCTGGTTTGCTGAACCAGCCATAAAACGGCCATAAAATTAGCTACAGGTTCACCTGAACTGGAGATAACTGATAGCAGCCCACCCCTGACTTATAATCATCTGTTTAGTGACTGTGTGAAGTTACAAGAGCATTGAAATAACTGATATATGACCTGGCCCCAACTTTATGACCATGACAGCATTCCCACAGTCACACAGTGAAAACGTGAGTTGGCAACCAGCGTGTATTTTCAATGGTTTTGGATGTCCCAGAATCATCTGTTCTCCATTTGCAACCTTTCTACCTGGCTTCTGACAAGCAAAGTCAATAGGCGAAGCTTGATTCACTTAACAATTGTATGATTCGTTTAACAACTGCAGTGATTCATTTAAGAACTGCGGCAAACGAAGTTGCACAATTGGGTGTAACTCACTTAAGAACTGCCTTGCTTAACGAATGGAAATTCTGCTCCCAATTGTGGTCATAAGTCAAGGACTACTTGTATTTACTAGGCTTCAATGCTGCTCCGAATCCAAAATTGACTCTGGGTGGCTTAGAGACCTGAATGCACAAATGATGAACATGGAACAGCGTTTTGAAGCTATTGTTCAAAAATACGTTGCAGCTGCCAAAAAGGCCAATGCAGTCCTAGGCTGCATGAATAGAATCAAGATCATGTGACGTGTTGATACCACTTTATAATGCTTTGGTAAGGCCACACTTGGAATACTGCATTCAGTTTTGGTCACCATATCATTAAAAAGATGTTGAAACTCTGGAAAGAGTGCAGAGAAGAGCAACAGAAACGATTAAGGGACTGGAGGTTAAAACATATGAAGAATGGTAGCAGGAATTGGGTATGTTTATTTTAATGAAAAGAAGGACAAGGGGAGACATGATAGCAGTGTTCCAATATCTCAGGGGTTGCCACAAAGAAGAGGGAGTCAAGCTATTTTCCAAAGCACCTGAGGGCAGAACTAGAAGCAATGGATAGAAACTAATCAGGGAAAGCAACTTAGAACTAAGGAGAAATTTTCTGAAAGTTGAAACAATATCAATGGAAAAACTTGCCTCCAGAAGTTGTGGATGTTCCAATACTGGAAGTTTTAAAGAAGAGATTGGACAACCATTTGTCTGAAATAATATAGGGTTTTCTGCCTGAGAAGGGGGTTGGACTAGAAGACCTCTAAGGTCCCTTCCAATTCTGTTATTCTCTATGCTGTAATTACTAAGGAAGATCCCAGTTACTGCACATCCTTCTCCTGCAGGAGAGCAAAATGCAACACATCAGATTCCAAAGTCTTGCTGAAAAGCAAAGACTTAATCATCTTATTAAAAACCCAGTACAGTTGGGATCAAGCTAATATCTGGGAGGTGATGCTTCATAGAAAGGGGCAGCTTCTCACCCCCAAAGTGGTACATCTGGAAATGTGATGTTTGCTTCTTACGCAGCCAGCAAAGGTTCATTTTGTTGTTCATTTCATTGCTGCTGTGGAAATTTATTTATTTAAATAAAAAGCAGGAAAGAAGTGCTAAAATTGTCTTTGGGTCTGGAAATAAAGCCTGGGGCCTGCAGAATGCTCACCAGAATGTTTGAAGTGCTACCAAATTTTCTTTCTTTTTCCAAGTCAATAGCTGAATTCTAAGCCACATATCATAAACCATTTCTTTATTAATTTATTTAAAGCATTTATATAGCCGTCCGTCATTCAACCAACTCTGGGCAGCTCCCAATCAAAGCATAATTCTCAATCAATCATAAATCATGATTTGAAAACCTCAGGTATATGCTAAGCCAATGTCTTAATAGTGCTCTGCAGAATCCAAGGGCTTTTGGAACACAGATACAGGCATTGGTTCATGTTTGTTCAAAATATTCAAATGTCTATGGAGATCCTCAGTCATCCAGGTCATGGTTGTCCCAAAGGTGCTTTTTTTTTTTTCTTCCAAGAGGCAACTGGACTTTCTTTTTTTTTTCCTTTGAAGATGTTTTACTTCTCATCCAAGAAGCTTCTTCAACTCTGAAGAAGAGCTGAAGAAGCTTCTTAGATGAGAAGCGAAACATCTTCAAAGAAAAACAAGAAAGTCCAGTTGCCTCTTGAAAAAGTACCTTTGAGACAAAATATCCAAATATGACTTGAAAGGTAATGTTTGGTCTCATGTAAGACTGCAAGAATAGTGCAGCCTCAAAGGGATTTCTCTCCCTTCTGCTTCCCAAGGGAGAAAATGTGGATTCCGCTTTATGGATCTGGAGAATGACCTACAACTTGGGTCCTTTTCAAGAATTATTGGAGGAAGAATGTCTTTGCCAGGAGGGCAACCATGGCAGGTATCTGTGCTTTTTAAAAAAAAAAAATAATTGCTTATTGCTATTCCCAGGAACTGCAGTTCATCTTTTTAAAAAACAAAACAAAGATTAGCTTTTATAGGTAGTCCTCATTTACTGATTGTCTCATACAGTGACTCTTTTGCAGCTATGACGATGATGAAAGGGCAACTTTGCAACCAATTCTTGCATTTGAGACCTTCACAGATCTGTAGAGCAAAAGGAAAGCTGAAGTCAGATCATAAACACAGTTGTAGTTTCACTGAGCAACAGAATTGTTGGTCCCAATTGCGGTTGGTAAACGAGGACGAGGTGCATAGCTAATCCATAAATAGCAGGTGTTCTTCAGCAAGTTCTCTAAGAATGTCCAAATGCATCTACCAGCTGCACAGTAGAATTGTCAAGGGAAATGTTTTGTAGTCCAGGACTCACTGACTAGTACATATATTAAATACCAATGAAGTTCTAATAATACATTGGCAAGAGACTGATTTCCCTAAAATACAAGGACAAACCTTGGCTGCTGATCACAAGTCTAATCAAACTTCTAACTGGCCAGGCTGGCTTATAGAAACTGTTTAAAGTCAGAAAAATTCTTTATTTCCAGCCATCTGATTTCTGTCTTCTCCCATCCTCCCTCTCCCCACGGAATAGGTCTCCATCAAGCAAGGCCGTTCTCATTTCTGCGGTGGCAGTTTGATTGGTGATGATGTGGTGGTCACTGCAGCTCACTGCATCATAGATTTCGATCTGTAAGCTATACTTTATATAACTTGCTTGGAGAGAAACCAAAAGTAATTGAAGCAGATGTCTGGTTACTGGCCTACTGAGATATGGTAGCAGCTTATGGGGTAGCATTGTGCAAAAAGCTTGTGGAATTGGCGGGCAAAATGTAAACTAAGGCTGAAGGGAGGAGGTATTAGTGCACTTTTTAAAAAAATTTGGGCAATTTTGAGATTATGGACTTCAGTTCCCAGAATTCTCTAACCAACCCAGCGGGGCTGGGAAAGGAATTGGAAGAGAGAGCAGACATAAACATCCAGGAGACAGTAGGTTAGTTAGTTGTCAATTTATCACATAAATGCAGTGGATTCAAAAAAAAATACTACCGGTTCTGTGGGCATGACTTGGTGGGCGTGGTGTGGCTTGGTGGGTGTGATGTGGCTTGGTGGGCGTAATGCGGCTTTGTGGGCATGGCAGGGGAAGGATACTGCAAAATCCCCATTCCCTCCCCACCCCACTAGCCTGCTTTCCAGCTCTGTTCTTCTGTGCAGGGCAACAAAAGAAGACCCAGCCAATCAACTGGGCTCAGGAGGCAGAGAATAGATGGGGGCGGGGCCAATCAGAGGTGGTATTTGCCAGTTCTCCAGACTACTCAAAATTTCCGCTACTGGTTCTCCGGAATTGGTCAGAACCTGCTGAATACCACCTCTGCATAAATGGCAGCTTAATCCAAATAGGGAAAAAAAATCTGGAGAGAAGCATTTCAAGCATTCAAAAAGATTCTACCATAATTAGCTAATTCGTAAACAAAACTGGGATTCCCCCCCCCCCCCAACTATCCAAAATGTCAAGACCAGCACGGAACAGACCTTACTGAAGTTGGTGTCCTTTTTGAATCTTTGATTTTTTTTGTCCAGTTGTGTGATGAGATCATACTAATGCTGTAAGAACTGAAGATGATGTGTCTCCTGCCCACCTAACAGTTCGAAAGCATGCAAATGTGTGTAGATAAGTAGGTACCACTTCGGTGGTAAGATAATAGCATTCCGTATGCCTTTGGCATATAGTCAGACAAGAAATGGAGATGAGCATCGTGCTCTAGAATTGGACACAACTGGACAGGAAAACCTTCACCTTTTACCTTTACTGCATGCTTTTCATATAAAAGTGATTTTATCCAGGTGTTTCCCAGGGGAGTTGGAAATTTTAATTTCTACGAAGGAAACCTTGGAATTCTGGGATTCTGGCTAGAAATTTAGAGAATTGCAAAGCCAACAGGTGAATAAGGCTGTTGTAAGCCAATGAGAGCTGATGATAAAAATGAATTTTCTAGAATTTTCTTGATATCACCTCTGCAAGTTTGGGGAATTTTTCCTCCCATGTAGAATCAAGGAGTTTGGTTTTGCTACATTGGACGTCTACTTTATGGCAGCGTCAACTGGCTAAATAATAATTCTTTCCACTCTTTTTTTAGAAAAGTTGTGAAGAATCTGATTGTGACTGTTGGCGAGTTTGATCTCCGCAGTGGGGATGAAGAAGAACAGAATGTCCCAGTCTCTGAAATTGTTGTCCATCCTGACTTCAACAGATTTGGGTATATGGATTCAGATATAGCACTGCTGTATTTGAAACACCACGTACAATATGGTAAGAAGAGACTTGAGTGAATCATTATTAAAGAAAATGATGGGAATGTATGCCAACAATGGGGAATGCTTGAGAGAGGAAGGCTGCCACTCAACCACCCAACTCTAGGAAGAGCATATGACATCACTAGAAGGGGTGTGGCCAAGGGTTTTTGTTTTTTATTTTTTGCAAAGGGAATTAAGGGAGTTAAAGGTGGGAATAGTGAGAGACTTTATAGAGGCAAGCTATTCTCTGGAACTAGGAACACATTTTTGATTTCTTATTGGATTCTTTTTTAAAAGGGGAGGGGAAAAAAACGGGATATCAAATCTGGAAACTTCTGCATATGGCATTGATGTACCACTGAGCTATTCTTTCAGCACAAAAATGTAGAAATGAAATCTTCCCTGTGAAATTCGTGGGTGTTTATCAAAAGACAACATTGACTTAAAATTGCTGGGTGTATTCCCTCTCTTAGGCTATGAAGTACAGCCTATCTGTCTTCCCCACAAGGAAGATGTGTTTGAAGCTGGAACACTCTGTGTTGTGAGTGGATGGGGCAAAACCTCTGAGGGTGAGTATTTGGTCCTGAGCGGCTTATTTTTATTTATTTATTTTTATTTATTTATTTGATTTGTCAATCGCTTACAAGATAATAGGTATATAAACATAGTTATGAATACGTGAAATGGATTCATGTAAGAAAAACAAAAAGAAACAATAGGACAGGGATGGTACGTTGCGCTTATGCACGCCCCCTACAGGCCTCTTAGGAAATGGGTGAGGTCAATAGTAGACAGTCTAAGGTTAAAGTTTTTGGGGTTTGGGGAAGAAACCACAGAGTCAGGTAGAGTATTCCAGACATTGACCACTCTGTTGCTGAAGTCGTATTTCCTGCAATCAAGTTTGGTGCGATTTACCTTGAGTTTGTATCTATTGTGTGCTCTTGTATTGTTATGGTTGAAGTTGAAGTATTCATTGACAGGATGTTGCAATGTATGATTTTATATACTATACTTAGATCGGACTGAAGGCGGCATAGTTCTAGGTTTTCTAGGTCTAGAGTTTCAAGTCTGGTGGCATAAGGTATTTTGCAACAAGTAGAGGAGTGGAGAACTCTTCTTGTGAAATATTTCTGGACTTTCTCAATTGTGTTAATGTCAGATACGTAATGTGGGTTCCAGACTGATGAGCTGTATTCAAGTATTGGTCTAGCAAATGTTTTGCATGCTCTATGCTTATGGAGAGTAGCATGTGAAGGTTTCTATTGACTGGCTTTTTAATTATTACAGGATGAACCTGCAGAGCTATAAAGAACTCACTATTAGCTTTGTTGCCTAGGGCTGCTAGGATTCATATAGCACTATGACAGTGGTGGGATTCCAAAGTTTTTCCTGTCGGTTCTATGAGAGCATGCTTTGCGCACTCAAAAAACACCTTCTGTGTCAGCGCTAGTGGGGTGAGGTGTTTTTTTTAGCTCAGCTGAGGTGCAGCAATCCACTCTGCCACGCAAAACAGCTAAGCTAAAAATCAAGGAAATATAGGATAGCAAAGGGTGGGTGTGGGTGGGCGGGGCCAGCCGGAGGTAGTATTTGCTGGTTCTCCAAACTACTCAAAATTTCCACTACCGGTATATCAGAACCAGTCTAAACCGGCTGAATACCACCTCTGATACATGACCTTATAAAGCCCAGGTCCTTCTCCATACTGGCTCATCCTTTTTCTCCTATTATCTTATGAATTTTCCTCACTAAAACTCTATGCTTTATGCTTCACATAAAACTCTATGAGGGTGGACCATCTCAATGCTACACCCCATCCTGCTTCTAATACCACTGTCTGAAGTCACAGTAGACATCTGGCTTCCCTCTAAGGCAGGGTTTCCCAACCTTGGCAACTTTCAGATGTGTGGACTTCAACTACCAAAATTCCCCAGCCAGGAGAATTCTGGGAGTTGATGTCCATGCATCTTAAAGTTGCCAGCATTTCCCTCTGCCTGAGAGGCAAGAGCCAACACACACAGCTTGAAGTTACCCTGGACAGCGTTAACTGAAGGAGAATATAAGACTGACTCACAAGGGTCCAGAGACAAGTTAAAGGCAACATTGTGAGACCTTATGGACAAGAACTTTTGCCCTGGTGGTCTTGTTCCAAGGTTTAAATGCAAGTGGGGAAAGGCCATCAATCATATTTTGTTCTGTGGTGTCTTCTGCTCTACATTTCCATCCTCGATATCACTGAGCAGTTGGTAGTGACCTAAACCAACACCTAGACATCTGGAATGATAAGTACTTTAGGGATTGTGTGACACATCAAGGTAATGGGGCAGAGCATGAACAACCTTGCTACTTGGGCACCCTCCAGAGATATTGGTCTGTAAGACACATGACCTTTAGCCCTTGTGGTCAGTACACTATGAGATATGCCATTAATCTTCTTTGAAGGGGAAACCTGGAAGCTGCTTGGAGCTTTGAAGTTTCTTTGCCAATTGCAGTATAAGAGGCGGGAAGATCTATTTTCCCCAAAAGAGGCAGAGGGGATGTAAAAAAAACTATAGTTCGCTAGACATTTAACACCAAAGAAAGTTCTAAGAATGCATTGGCTACTTTAATTAGGAGGATGGCAGAGGTGGTATTCAGCAGGTTCTGACCAGTTCTGGAGAACCGGTAGCGGAAATTTTGAGTAGTTCAGAGAACCAGCAAATATCACCTCTGACTGGAGATTTTACAGTATCCTTCCCCTGCTTGACCACCAAGCCACGCCCACAGAACCGGTAGTAAAAAAAACTTGAATCCCACCACTGGAGGATGGAGTGATTTTGGCTGGGTAATCTTAACATATCCTACTTTGAGGTGGATGCATAAGTAGCCTAGATTTCTGCATTGAGAGAACCAGCAGATTTCTAAAACCCTTTAGGGCAGGGTTGTCAAAGTTGTGGCCCATGAACGGGGTGCATCACGCACTGGCCATGCCCAACCCAGTTTAGCGAAGGGGAGAAAATTGTGATGCGTCACATGCAGTGGTGGGATTCTACCAGTTTCCCTTCCAGTTCAGCAATCGTGCACTTCGCGTGTGCGCGCACACACCAAACACAAGTGTGCGCAGCTTTCCAAACACCAGCTGAGGCTCTGCCATGCCAATCAACTGAGAGGATAAAGAAGAGAAAAGCGCAGGAAGGTGGGAGGTCCACTCCTGCGCTTTTCTCTTCTTTATCCTCTCAGCTGATCGTCGGAACTTTTTTTTTTTTTTTTTTGCTACTGGTTCGGCTGAACTGGGCCAAACCGGTAACATTTCACCACTGGTCACATGATGACAATGTGACGACGCATGTTTGACACCCCTGCTTTAGGGCAATGTTTTTCAACCTTGGCAACTTTGAGATGCCTGGACTTCAACACCCAGAATACCTCAGTCAAGTGGAGAGCTGCCTGGGGAATTCTGAGAGCTGAAGTCCACACCTCTCAAAATGGCCGAAGTTGAAAGCACCCATTTAGGGAGCTTGCCTGCTTCAGGACTAATGGAAAAGTTCACTGAGATAGATCAGTGTTCGAACAGTAGAGAAAGTGCCTTAAGAGGCATGAACTTCTGCCTCTTCGTTAACATTTTTGAAACACAGGGATTTTCGTTTTATCATGTGCCATTGCTTCCATTATTAGAAAATCATAATCTAAAATTTACACAAAGGTGACAATTTTAGGGCATCAAATTTTATATTAAGATTTTTGATATTTTTTTGATATTTTTAATATAAACTTAACAAATGAAGATGGTTTACTGCCTGAATACTACTACCTGCCCTATGGAACAATATACTCCACAAACTTAGGATGGCTCCAGGCATTAGGACAGGATGTCAAGGATGCCACTTTTATTATCTTTTGTTAAACTGTTATAACCTGGGTGAGATATGCCTCTTCCTTTTTATCTTTTTTTTTTAAATTTTGTGAGCCAGTCAGTGTTGTACACGAATGGGCAGCAGTATAGTTTGAATAAATGAATAAATAAATAAAATTAATGTTCCTTATCACCATTTCTTTGGGTTACTTAATTGCTATATTAAGAAACCATTTGGAATGCAAAGATGTTGTCTGGGTTTCAACATCTCAATGTTTTCGCTCGTTTAGTCAGTGTGTGGATGTGTGAACTGATCCACAAACAAACCAAGTCAGAACAAATCAAACCAAAATTTTATTATAATTATTGACCGAAAATCCAATAAGATAAATAAAATATGATATATAATAAAATATGATATATAATAAAATATTCAAAAGAGTACATTGAATACGCCATTCAAAAGAGACAATCAAAAAGCCACAAAAAGAAAACAAAAAGACCAAAATATCTCCTCACCAGAAATTCACACTCAGATAAGCCGAGATTAACATCAAGATTAACATTAAACAAACAAAAAGTATTAACAAATTACCAAACAAATTAATAGTAAACAACACCCCAATCAAGGAACCACCAAGACTATGCCCATCAACACTGATAGAGCAAGTCACTAGTATATAAAATGAGAGCAAACCCCACTCCTTACTAGTACTGATTATGTTACCTAGTGTGGTAATCAAATGTCTGCAGGAAAACAACCAAGTTCAGAGAACACCAAAATTCCACGCATAATTCAACAATTTTTAGAATGTAAGCAAGGTTATCAAGGGTCATTCTGTCCATTGATGTAGCCTTCTCATGGCAAATTGATGTCACTAAGTAGCAAAATTTTGTCATAAAATAAGTGAATTTAGGATTTCTATCAACTATAAAATAGCTTTCATACAATTCTCCAGTACAATTAGAACTTTTTTAAAATGATGGTTGAAGTAGCTCTAAAAAACTGAATCACATTTTAGTTTGATAGTGAGGATATGCAAATTATTAGCTTGGGTTTGAAGAAAGCTTTTCTGTTCTGAGATTCCTTTTGGATCCTGAAGACGTTATTATTATTTTATTCATTAAACGTGAAACTCAGTCAGCTGAACATTTAAGAATGTATCACAAATATTATTGACTGGCAATGATGGTTGATACGGGTTGCTGCCAGCATCCTAGATGGTTGCTGTTGTTATTGTTGTTGCTGTTGTTGTTGTTGTTGCAGCTGGGTCCCTGTCAAGCATCCTACAAGAAGTGGAGCTTCCTATCATTGACAGCATAACCTGCAGCGAATTGCTGAAAACTTTAAATTTGCCCCCAGGACAGAGGTCCATGCTGTGTGCTGGTTTTCCAGATGGTGGAAGAGATGCGTGCAAGGTAAAAACTATACCACAAGCATTTAAAGCAGCTCAGTAAAAGAATTTACAAGCGGTCTCAATGATATTTTATTTTTCCATTGTTAGGAAGCTCTCTCTATGTTTTCCCAAGTTTCTCACGGTATCCTAGAACAATGTAATTTTTTAATCTAATTAAAGGCGATGTACCGATCATGGTGAAATCATTGCTGGAATTGTATTTCTAATTATCAGTTTTATTGCTTTGATGAAAATATTGACTCATCTGATAATTTCATATACTGGATCATAACTTACAAGGGCCCACTCAATGCTGGGTTCTAAAGCAGTTGCTTCCCACTTAAAAAAAATAAGCTAGAAAAGAAGAATTGTGTGCTTGCTGCCTTGGTTTATGTGACACTTGTTTTATGTTTGTGGTTGAGACCATTTTGAATTTTGTGTATTTGCTGGGTTGTTTTTTTTCTTTAAAGATAATGAATGTGGGAAATACAATACTGAAATGGTGTTGATTAGAAAGTAGGTGTGATGACCCAGAGTGTAACACAAATGTAACAAAATCCAAAACGTAAATAAATGTCCTTGAATGCCTCCAACTTGGCCTCACTGTTCAATAATACTCAGTTGGAGATAAAACATACTCAAAAATAGTCTTCAAAATAAAGCAATGCAGTCTGAATTTAATGAGCAGATAGAAGTGAAATAAAAAATCAAACAAACTACAATGATGAAATGTCCACAACAGAACAGGGGAAGTATTTACCAAATTCAAGGAGATAACAAGGCACAGTTTGTTGGAAGGACGTCAACCAAGATAACTTCAGACCAAAATAAAACACATTTGCTTCTGGCAACCTATGTTTTAACCGTCTCTCTTATATACTCGTCTCCCCAGCTGTAACCAAAGAGGAGGATCATTGCCGCTTCCTCTCTCGCAAGCCAAGTTGTTGCCTTCTCCTTTCCTCCCTGCATGTCCTAGGATGCAGAGGGGATGGGCCTGGTTCTTCCTCTGACTGCCCAGCCGGACTCTGACCTTCCCCAGCCTCCTCCACAACCTCCGGAGCTACACCTCCACTCCCTGTCGGCTGTTCCTCCTCTCCCTCAGAGTCTGACTCTATCAAGGGCATGACAGTAGGACATTATAAGATTTTGATGGATACCAGTGTTTCTCAATGTTGGCAATTTTAAGAGATATGGATTTCATCTCCCCAAATTTCCCAGCCAGCTCCTGTCCACAACTCTTTTTTTTAAAAAAAAAAAAAACAAGTTTTATTAAAAGTTTCAACAACAAACAAATCATTACATATTAAATCTTTTCCTGTCTTTCTACAAAAATTTCCCCAATATTCTCATAAAACACAAACAAACACAAACAAACATAAAAAAATCTTTTAGTAAAGTACCTTGGCCCCAGTTACCTCTCTTTGCATGGGCAGCACATATCACTCTTCACAATTCTATCTTATTTAATCCATCTTAATTAAATCATTAAATTTATATCTTTTGCCCATTCATTATCCCTCTATCTCTTCTTATAATAAAAAGAATTTCTCCTGAAATCACTAATCAGAGTATGATGCCTTTCTATCCTCCCCCTAAGTTAGTAAAATTAACATTCAACATAACAAATACCCAATTTGGTTCTGCTTGGTACATTCTATCCACCAAAAATGTTTAAATACATTGTATCCTCCTTTCCTTCAATATTTTATTACATTTTAAAAATCAATCATTATTAAAAACTTCAACATTTTAATTTCTTAAAATCTTAAACCATTCTAATTTACTATTTCAAATATAAATGTTACAATACCATCTTCTGTACCTAGCAGAATCTTTCTTACAAAAGTTTATATTTCATCCTTTGTCCCTAAAAAAAATTCCTCTTCTCCCATCCAATTTTAAAACTTTGAGGCTTTTCTCCGCCTTTCCCCTTTCTTTCTTCCCCCACCAAATCTTCCTACCCCCCCTTCTTCTTCTAACCTCTGCCTTGCTGGGATCCCTTCTCTGTTGTGTTCCCTTTTTCTCTTGTTTGCTATCATTATATTTACTTTGCATCATATTTTTCTCTTTCTCAAATGTTTTTTTAAATCTTAAGTCCTTCATTTTCCTTGCTCTCTTCCTTCCTTCTTCCTTAGATAAGTTTTGGGATTCAATAAAGATGGCGTCTTCGTCTCTTCCTTGTTGTTCTTCTTCTGTTTCCATCTGTTCCATTGTCTGTTGGTAATTGACCAGCGCCATTTCTAGAAATAGAAAAGCTTTTTCCATGCCATCTTTGCAGGCTGCTTTTGTTTGCTCATATTCATCCCTCAGGTCTTCAAAAAGGAAAGCCATTATAAATAAATCTTTTCTTTTCTTTATTCCTCTTTCTTCTTACACCAACCAAATATTCCGAGAGAAAGGTAAAACAATCCCAAAATCCACAATCCTCAATAAATCCAAGCAAGCCAAAATTCCCCCTTCCTCTTCCAGGGGTGGTATCAAACAAATAAAAAAAAAAGAGTCCAAATCTATATTTTAAAGCCTTATTAAAATTATATTTCTGTCCTCAAATCTTCAAGGCATCTCCTCCAACAAGATCCAAATTTATATATTTTCTTTATCCTCTCCCTTCCGGCTTAATTCCATCGGGAGGGAGAGTAAACTTTCCTTTCAGCACCTCAAAATAGCCGCTTTTTTTTTCTCTTGTGGAAAAAATCATCAAAAAACCATCTTTTCCAGGATATTAGATAAATCTCAAAGCCCTGGGTCGACCAAGAAGAACTTTCACTTTCAATAACTTTCTCTTCTTCCTCCTGCGCATACTTGCCCGGCTGCCGACTTCTTTGTGGCGGCCATTACGGACCGCCGCTGCACCGTCCTGGTAAAAGGGGGTTCTGCCGGCCAGGGAGGGGGTCTGCAACACCCCCAGACCCTTGCTCCGGATCCCCCTTACCTTCAGCTACCCCTGCAGGGCAGCCTTGCTCCGCACCCGTCCAGGTCGGAGCCCCAAAACGGCTAGCGCGGCAGGGATCGCGCAGCTTCGCGAATCCCTACCGCTCGCGAAGCCGACAAACCGGAAACTCCTGTCCACAACTCTTAAAGTTGCTAATGTTTAGTAACACTGGTCTATACTAGCAGTTTAACAAATACATATATTTAATGAAATATACATGCCCAAAGAGTGAAATGTAAGTCAGTGAAATGAAATGAGAGATCTGATATATTAAAGCGGTGGGACTAGGATCAGACAGTCCCAGATTCACATCCATGGATAAGTACAGAAACTTTCTCGGTGACTTTGGGCCAGTCACTCCCTCTCAGCCCAATCTACTCCACAAGGTTAATATGGGGAGGGGGAAATGGATAAAGAAATATTGTAGCTTGAGCTCCAAAAGGAAGGCAAGCTCTAAATTCAATACGTTCAATAAAATAAATAATGAGGAGAGGGCATTGGCATGTTTCCAAAAATGTGGATTGTGCTACCATTTACTTACCTGGAAAGGTTCTTCTCATGTTTTATATCAGGGTGATTCTGGAGGGCCGCTGGCATGTAGAAAAGCCAGCGGCCTCTGGACATTGGTAGGCATCACCTCCTGGGGAATTGGTTGTGGAAAAGGCTGGCTTACTGACAAAAGGATCAACGGCAGTAGAGGTTCTCCGGGCATTTTCTCCAAAGTGAACGAGCTCCTGGATTTCATTACTCAACACATGACCACTGGTCAGTATTGCTTTTAACTTATCCTTCTTTCTCCATTCATTTCTCCCATAGAAAAATGTGGGGGATGGGGTGGTTATTTTCTCTGGAAACTTCCAGTTTCTAGATGCTCTTTGTATAGTACATTCTATGGTGACCAAGTCAGAAAACAACAGAGTTATGAAGATGGCATGAGACTGGGTGTTTAGTGCCTTTGTTTTTAGATATCTAAGCATTCAAAGGGAGAATACTTCACTTTTTTTTTTCCAAATTGAAGAGAGAAAGGTACAGTTCTTTGCTCCCCTGTGATCATAGTGCTCACACAGTCAACCGTGTGAAAAAAAAACATGAAGTGATATTTGGTATAAGTCAGTGGCAGAACGCACGCAATTATTGGATCAAATGCAAGATTGAATGCTTTGTTCTGAAAAAGTTTTATTCTGCTAAGAATTAATCTGTGTGCCTTAAAGATATTTTTTTGAGGTGGAATGAGCACCTGCATTAGAGGGGGAGAAATTTGGTCCGGTAGTGGGATTCAAATTTTTTACTATTGTTTCTGTGGGCGTGGCTTGGTGGGTGTGGCAGGGGAAGGATACCGTAAAATCTCCAGTCAGAGGTGGGATTTGCCAGTTCTCTGAACTACTCAAAATTTCCGCTACCTGTTCTTCAGAACTGATCAGAACCTACTGAATATCACCTCTGATTTGGCCAACTCAGATCTTTCCCAGAAAGAGACCTGGATCAAGAGATTGCAAAGTCCCAAACTGGAGGCGGAAGGGAGAAAGAGGTTGAGGGCAACCATACCCTAGAAGCTGATGAAGGAGAATACTTGTTGGTCAGGGTTCAAATGAGGCATCCATGGTGCTCTCTGAGCTAGAAAATAACCAAGCAAGAGAACACCAAGGACCTTTCACCCTATAATTTTTCAGAATATATCTAGTAGCTTTAGTTTGGCAATTTTGATGTTAGACTCATGCCCAGAGCTGAGACTGAAATCCAATCAAGTGCAATCTTTATTTGCTTACATCTAATAGACCAGGGGTCGCCAACCTTTTGGACCTCAGGGACCACCAAACTCATAATTTTAGATCCCAGGGACCGCTAACCGGTTCTGTGGGCGTGGCCAAATTTGTGGGTGTGGCTTGGTGGTCATGTGACTGGCTGGGCATGGCTTGTATGTAAATATTATAAATATTTATATAAATATTGATTTTTTTATAAGAGAGCAACTTTTACCCAAAATCGGCAAAGCAGGCAGGCAGATTGAGTTGCTCACAGAATCACAGATTAATTCAGAAATCCATCTATCTGCCATTGGCTAGCTCAATCTGTCACATAAAATTTGCTTGCAAGCAAACTCATAAAATTAACTCACAACACACCATGCATGTAAATATTGATTTTTTTATTTAAAAAAAGAGCAACTTTTACCCAAAATCAGGCAAAGCAGGCAGATTGAGTTGCTCACAGAATCATTCAGTGATCTATCTATCTGCCATCGGCTAGCTCAGTTTCTTAAATTTGCTTGCCATGAGTCTGCACTGAATTTGCTTGCAAGCAAACCTTCAGTGCTAAGGGAAGCAGAGCTGAAGATCTAAAGACTAGCTAGAAAGCAAGAAATCCAACCATTTCCTGCTTCCTAGCTAATCTAAATCTCCCAGCACAGCAGAACAGATGATGGTCAGAAAAAGGAAAAATAGCAATTTAGCAGGCAAGTTTGCTAAGTAAGGAGTGAGTGGGCGGGGAGCGTTCCTGCGGGCCATGTGGGTGGCGCAGCCTTGTGTTTCTGCACAGCCTGGATTAATTGCTTTGGGAGGGTGCTCTGGGGATGAGATTACTCTGCGGCCCACCAAAATTTTCTCAATTTTCTTTTGGTGAAAGTGGCCTTGTTTGGTACCCCTGCCTGGCTGAAGACAACTACCTTGATAATAGGTATGTATTTACCACAGACGCCGTAGCCCACTGGTTGGCGACTGCTATAATAGACAGAATCTTGCCTAACTACAGCTATAACTTTCTAAGCCAAGGGTGTCAACCTGGATTTCATTGAGGACCGCATCAGGGTTGCGTTTGACCTTGGGTGGCTGATTGGGCATGGCTTGGGTGGGTGTGGCCAGGGTAGGCATGGCCAGCTCGACATCCTACAGCCCCCTGCCAGCGAAAACGGAGCTCGGGAGACCTGGCAGAGGCACTGCAGGCTGGTCCTTCACTATCCCCAGGGCAGTCCCGCAGGCCAGATCTACGTACTTAGCAGGCTGGATCCGGCCCACAGGCCTTGAGTTTGACACCTCTGTTCTAAGCTAATAGATATAATACATCCTTAGAGATTCTATGGTGTAATTACCCTGAACATCTTTCTCCTTCCTCCCAGAGATGGTATTCAGCAGGTTCTGACCGGTTCTGGAGAACCGGTAGCGGAAATTTTGAGTAGTTTGGAGAACTGGCAAATATCACCTCTGACTGGCCCCACCCCCATCTATTCTCTGCCTCCCAAGTCCCACCTGATCGGCTGGGTCTTCTTTTGTTGCCCTGCACAGGAGAACGGAGCTGGAAAGCAGGTTAGTGGGGTGGGGAGGGAATGGGGATTTTGCAGTAAGCGTCCCCCAGGAGTGGGGAGGGAATGGAGATTTTCCAGTATCCTTCTCCTGCCACACCCACCAAGCCACGCCCACCAAGCCACACCCATAGAACCAGTAATAAAAAAAATTGAATCCCACCACTGCTTCCTCCCCTCCAGCTTAGGATTGTGCAGTTTCTTGAACTGGGTCTCTTGGGAAAGTTCTGAGTTGGCAAAATCTCCCCCCTCCGCTGCTTCAGGCACACATTCCAGTGCATCTTCTTCGTGCTGACAATATTTCACAGGCAGCTTTTTGGTTTCTCTTGCTCAGAACCTGGGCCAAGCTTTCTGTCTGCATCCAGCCTAGAAGAGTGCAATCCCCATGGAGTGCTGGTGTTTGGTGAAAGTGGCCTTGTTCGGTACCCCCGCCTGGCTGAAGACAACTACCTTGATAATGGGTATGTATTTACCACAGACGCTGAGTTTCCTTGAAGGACGTTACTAAATGGGCTGCCTTGATAGGATTTTGTGGAACAAACAGAGAGCTTTCCCAAAGGTACTTTTTCAGGAGGCAACTGGACTTCCTTGGTTTTTTTTTTTTAAACAAAATTTTATTAAGTAAATTATTAAAAACATTGGACGTGATGTGATCATTCTGACAATTCTGCTTGTCATACATATTATGGCATAGAGTACATATTTTATATACATATCTGCATTTATACATCTGTACATTTATTCAGTAGTTTCCAATTCTAGTCATCCCTTCTGCCAACCCTATTCTCTTTTGATTGTAGATCTTTCCTTTTTCCCCACCATTGATAGAATTTATCCTATACTTTATAGTATTCTATCTCTTCTTTATCTTTCATCTCTAAAGTTAGTTTAACCATTTCAGCGCATTTGATTTTTTCTTTGAAGACGTTTTGCTTCTCATCCAAGAAGCTTCTTCAGCTCTGACAGGATATTGGGGAATGGAAGGATTTATATTCCTTGCAGACAGCTGATCATTTGCATCCTTTTAGATGGTTGTTGAGGCCACTTGGAGATTTATCTGTGTCCTCAGGTTCACCTGAGTAGCGCTCCTGGTTCCTGTAGTCTGCAGTTTTTTCCCCCCTCTGGAAATCCATTCCTACTCCCACACCATTCAAAGGGTGTTCATCCCAAATTGTATAGCTAAAAGTCTGTAGAGATTTTCAGTCATCCAGGTCACGGTTGTCCCAAAGGTGCTTTTTCAGGAGGCAACTGGGCTTTCTTGTTTTTCTTCTTCTTCTTTTGAAGATGTTTCGCTTCAGATACACTTCCAAGTGCTCCCACAACCCTCTAAAAGGATACAAATTACCAGCTGCCTGCAAGGAATTGAAATCCTTCCATTCCTCAATATCCTGTCAGAGCTGAAGAAGCTTCTTGGATGAGAAGAGAAACGTCTTTAAAAGAAAAAAACAAGAAAATCCAGTTGCCTCCAGAAAAAATCACTTCTGATGACCTGGATGACCGAGAATCTGTACAAAAGGAGAGTTTGTTGATAAAGATGCAATGGAATGTTAAATGCACATGCACGGTAAACGTTACTGAATTAAATAATGTTTCGGTTGTGGTCTTTAAATGCAAAGAAATAAATTAAATATGATATCCTTTGCCATCTTGGTCTTTCACTGCTTCTTGACAAATAGATAGGGATGGTTTGGCTGTGAACTCCGAGGCAACTTGAAGCAATTTCTTATCTGAACATAGATTGCCTTTTTAGCAATCAAATGCTAGCAATCCCGTAATGGTGTAATTATTATTTAATTATTCAATAATTCTTTGAACTATTTGCTAGTAATTCAATTTCTTATTAAATGGCTTTGAATTATTTGCTAGCATTTCTGTAATAATGTAATTGGTTACACCAGAGATCCTCACTTTATCGCACTTGGAATGCTGCCAGAGAACTAAATGCTAGACGCAGGGCAAGGCCAAACTTGACACAACAGAAGTCCAACAGTCCAACAGAACTTTTCAAAACCAGATGAACTAATTGCTAATTGCTTCCTGCAAAAGCTCACATCCCGTTCACTCCTCTTTTATCTCCTATGGGAGGAGCCAGTCATCTCTGGTGTGTGGCGTTACTCCTGAGTTGATCCTGCTTTCTCAATTGTTCTTGTCTTCTGCTAGCTCTGCGCATGCACAGGCTGGAACCCAGTTCCATAAGCTCCACCGCATCACTGCTGTCCAAACCCAAAGGCAGCTGTTGACTGCCAGCCTACCTTGGCCCCATCTCTGCCTCTGATGCAGAGCCCTCCTCTAGGTCTTCCTCAGCCTCCAGACCAGGCCCAGGTTCCTCCCCAACTTCCACACTACTGTCTGACTCTGCTGCCAGCTCTGTCAGCTGCAGGCAGGCCACAACAATTCCAGGGACAGATGCCCCAAAAGTGGGCAGGGGTAAACCAATCTTAGATTAGATTTAATTTAAACTGCACTTAAATTAAATTAAATTATAGTTGGTTATTTAATAATTTTTCCATTCTGTTGGAATCATAGTAATGTGTTCTATGTGTTCAATAATAATGTTCAATGTAAGGATTAGGTAGGGCCTCAGTGATAATCTGGTCTATCTCCCTGTCCAATGCAGGAATACAGGTTAAAGTGAAGGTTAAAATTTGAAGGTAACTTTGGAAGAGGAACTGGGGGCCATAACTTAAGTTATTGTGAGGTACATATGGCCAGGACATTAAATCAACACCTGTGATTTCTATTTTATGTTAACTTCTCCATTGCTATGCCAAGCTAGGATATAAGGCCACCTTGCCACATTACAAATACAGAATTTATATTTTGCATATAAATTCTACAATACAAATACAGAATTTATATTTTACTCTATTATAGAGCCAGGATGGTCTAGTGAAGTGTTTTTCACACTTGGCAACTTTCAGGTGTGTGGACTGGGAATTGAAGTTCACACACCTGAAAGTTGCCAAGTTTGAAAAACACTGTAGTGGTTAAGACAAATAAGAATTGGGAGGTCCACCCTCATCCATGGGAGCTCATTGGGAGATCGTAGTCCAGTAAATCTGTCTCAGTCATCTGGTTGACACTCTTGCTATTGTTGTTGGGAAAATGTGATGAAGGAGCCTTATTTATGCTGCCTTAAGTTTCTAGACAAAAGGCAGAATATAAACTACAGTTCCTTTATGTTCATATTTTCTCCCTGTGGTTCAAACTGCCCATTCACTTTGCATGCAAGCAAACAAATAAAAATGGAGGGAGATGAGTTTGTTGCTCTATCCCTTTGGTGGTACATTTGTAGGTGGTAGAAGAAGAATCAATGCAAGGCATTTTCAGGGAGAGGTCCATGACAGTTCCTGACTTCAGGTGCTCAGCAATATCATGTTCTTTTGCCCAAGCCGTACTTTAAATTATCTATTTCCAGCTGGTGCATTTGGAACCTAACCGTATCTGAAGATAAAATCATTCTGGTGGAATTTATCAAACTAGACATAGAAGATCAGATTGAATGTGACCATGACTACGTTGCTTTCTATTCAAGCGAGAAGGAATTAATTGGTAGGTGGAAGGTCTCTCGTGCGATTCCTTGTGAGATTTCAGTCTATGATTTAGGAAACTGCCCTTGACTGAGTTGGGCCATTTCTCTGTCTAGCCCAGTACATCAATTATGACTAGCAGCTGCTCTCTGGACTGGTGGCTTTTCTGACCTAAAGGAAAGTTTTAAGAGTTGAGTCTGGGAAATGTGTTTGAGAACCTGCCATCTCAGGGTGTGATCACCTTAGTATATCTGGGTGATGCCACCTTGCGGATGGTTCCTCTGAGTTGGGGACCAAATTTGTGCAATGGTAGATCCAAATTCAGTGATAGAACAATCCTGTCGTCTTCTTTTTCTCCTGTTTCCTCTCTCTCCTTCTGCTACCATGCCCTGCAATTGGATGGAGGTGAAGGATGGTTCATCTTACCAGATATATTTGAAGCTACCATTCTACATCCCGCACTAACCTGGGCGTAGCCAACTCTGAGATACGTAATTCACTGTCACCCTTGATCCTGCTTTTCCCTCCATCCTTTGGGTGTATCATCCAACGAAAAAACGTCCATAGCCAAGAGCCATCAATCATGCTCTCCAATTAGATTTTTTCACGGCAGAAGTCTCTGAAGAAAATATGAATGGAATGTACTTTAGATTCCACACTGCTTCCTGCTCTTTGAAACTCCCCCCACTTCTTTCTATTGTCAACTATAAAACATGTATACAAAATGTTTTATGAGTTGACAAGGGGTGTATTAAACTCAAGGCCCATGGGCTGGATCTGGCCGGCGGGGTGCTTAGATTTGGCTCACAGGGCTGACTTGGAAACAGTGAAAGACCAGCCCACGTGGCCCTCCCGAGTTCCATTTTCACTAGCAGAAGGTTGCAGGAGGCCATCGCAACCAAAAGCGGAGCTCGCAAGGGCTGTGGGCAGCCCTCTTGAGCTCAATTTTCACTGGCAGAGGGTTTCAGGAGGCCCTTGCAGCCGAAAATAGAGCTTGGGAGCCTGCTTTCACTGATAGAGCACTCAGGCCACCCCAGGCACCCCACCTGGGCCACGCCCACCCCAGCCCCCCAAGGTCAAGCACAACCATGATGCGGCCATCAATGAAATCGAGTTTGACAGCCCTGAGATAGATGAATTGATGCCTTGCAGAGGGCTCTGGGGAAAGAACCCCAAATAGCCTATCCTATCCTATACCAGTTGCATCTTTTGTAGTCCTTAAAGCTACAAAGAGTGGGTCACTAGGATGTATGTGACTCCCACAGGGTTCATTTTGACTTTGTTCTCTTCTAACAGGTAAAATCTGTGGTGATGTCCTGCCTTCCCCCTTGCTGATAGAGTCGGACCAAGCCATTGTTATATTTGTGTCTGATGGCAGCATTGGGGGCAGAGGCTTTGAATTCACCTTCAGTGCTGTGCATCCAGCATCTGAAGCAGGTAATTCCACCTTTGCCTCTGAACCTCTCTGTGGAGGACAGCTGGGGAACAGGCAGTTTCTTAGTCTCTACTTATTTTTGAAAAAGCAAGCCAACATTTGCATATTTTAAGTATATTGGAGTAGAAAAAGAACTTAATGTTGATTTGCCAGTTAATAAAGCACGTAACATTTTTGCCTATTTGCTTCCGCCTCTCTTGCTCCAATGTCGTAGGCTCTGGCTGTGGCAGTATTGCAATGCTGGTGGAAGAAGGAAAGATTGACACGGCTAATTACCCTGGCTTATATCCCAGCAGCACAAAATGCCACTGGCTCATTGAAGCCCCAGTGGACCGTGTCATCAAGGTAATAAGGAGCGATGACCTAGGTTGGAATGCAACCAACTTTTTTGTGGATGCCTGTGTCAGACAGTCACAAATCATTCTTGAGGCAATGATCTTGCTTATCTGTGTTCTCAAAGAACTTAAAATTGCTGCGCACAAGTGCTTTGTCAGAGTGAGGCAACTGCCTCGAGCGGATGATTTTGGAGGTCAAGAAAGGGAAATAGATTATTATTTAATTCAATGTTACTGAATTCTTTTTCTGCCAGACATGGGAAGAGAAGCTGACAGGATTTCCTGTCTCAAGGATTAAAATCATGTCTTGGTTTGCTTTATTGCGCTTCTTGATCATGTTGGGACAGAGTTTTTTTGCTGTGGCCTCAGAGATGTTGTCATTAGATGCCCTTCGGATAAGCTAGGGCCACAATTTCTAGAACATACCATCAGAAGTCATAGAACAGTAGTCGCCAACTAGTGGCCGGGGACCACTGGTGATCCGTGAGAAAATGTTGGTGGTCTGCAGAGAAAAGCACTCCCCCCAAAGTAATTAATCCTGGCTGTGCGGGAACTCAAGGCTGTGCTGCCCACATGGCCACCCACCCACTGACCCCCACCCTTCGGCTGAGTGCAAACTTTACCTTGAATAGAGCCACGCGAGTGGAAATGGAAGGTAAGACCAATGGCAGGGGAGGGAAATCAGCCCCGGGGTGGCTTGCTGACATTGGTGGGAAAGTCGGTCCCATAATCCAGAGCTGCAGTAGTCACAGGGCTGGCCCTTTGGTCATCCCGGAGCAGCTCTTCCAGTCCATGGCAGGCTGGTGCACCTGGGTGGAGGAGCAGCTGCTCCGGGATGACCAAAGGGCCAGTCCTGTGACTACTGCAGCTCTGGAAATGGGACTGACTTTCCTACCAATGTCAGCAAGCCACCGCCAGTCAAAACTCATATTAGTGGTCCACGGGATTTAAAATTATGAGTTTGGTGGTCCCTGAGGTCCAAAAGTTTGGCGACCCCTGTCCTAGAGGACTTAAGGATGGGGATGCTATTGTGTATGTTCTATGAGGGTGAATGCTAATATCTTCCCTTTCAGTTGGAGTTCGAAGACTTTGCAGTTGAAATCAGCCAGGATTGTATTTATGATGCTGTTGTTGTTTATGGTGACACCGAAGAAGAGCACCAGCTAGGTAATAACTGGTTTGACTTGGTAGATTGTAATCAGAGGTGGTATTCCGCAGGTTCTGACCAGTACTGGAGAACTGGTAGCAGAAATTTTGAGTAGTTTGGAGAACTGGCAAATACCGCCTCTGACTGGCCCCACCTCCATCTATTCTCTGCCTCCCGAGTCCCAGTTGGTCAGCTGGGTCTTCTTGCATAGGAGAACAGAGCTGGAAAGCAGGTTAGCGGGTTGGGGAGGGAATGGGGATTTTGCAGTATCCTTCCCCTGCCATGCCCACAAAGCCATGCCCACAAAGCCATACCATGCCCACAAAGCCACAGCCACAGAACCAGTAGTAAAAATTTTTGAATCCCACCACTCAATTTTATAATGGCTCCCTGAAAGACAAAATTGAAAGAGTCCCCCTGGTATCTCAGCAAAGGTCCACAGCTCTCAAAATTCCTAGGCAATGTGGCATTGACCTTGTCCACTTAACTTTTGATGATGGCGTGGATAAATATTTTGAAAGAAAGTCAAGCAAATGGGCAGTGGTGGTGGACAAGAGATAGCAGACCAAACTAAAATGTCTCTGATTTAAATCATTTGTTCCAAAATCTTGAATCAGACTTTCTGAGGGAGCTCCTTTCCCTTCTATGAGATACGGCCCCTGGTGAAAAGTACTTCACCGCTGATGGCAGGAGCTGTGTACTTTTTTCCTCCTTATAGCTCTCCTGTGTGGTTTCTCAATTCCTTCGCCTGTGTGGAGCCCAGGGAACATCATGCTGATCCACTTTGAGAGTGATGAAGAAAATAACTTCAGGGGATTCAAGGCCAAGTTCACTTTTTTCTCTTCAGGTTGGTTGGGGGTGTTTTCTTCAACATCGGCTTCTGCTAAATAGAAAATTTGCATGTCTTTTGATCCAGAATCAATGAAGAGAAATTAGAGAGATTCACTTAACTTTAGGACCTCACCTGATTGTACAAATCAGGCTGGGGAATTTTTTTGATGGCATTGGATTCTACTTAGTATCAACTCCAGGCCAAGGTAAAACATATGGCTGCAGATTTTATACCATTGACATAAACCGTTGAAGTAGTCTATTGGGGCAGGAGTGTTTTTGTGGTGAAGTACTCATTATCTTCCAGAGTCATCTGCAATTGGACTATTTTGATCCTTATTAGAGAATTCTTTGGGGTTATCAAGTGTTTTTGAGCTTCTAAATTGACTTGCTCTGTGGAGGCCAATTAGCATTTAACAGGTCAATTTTCAATCTCTTATCTGTTCTGTCCATCATGATTCTTTTTTAAAAAAGGTTCTTAGGTCAAACTATTCCAAAATGTACAACGATGAAATTTTTAGGATGCAAGAAAATATAGGCTATTCTCAGAAGACATCATGAATTTTGTTCTGAGTGGAACATGCAGGCCTGGAGCTTTGTCTGACCAAGGGCATCTGAAAGGGAAAATACAACCTATCTGTTACATATAGCACTAGCACCTAGATTTCTATACCACTTCACAGTGCTTCAGAGCCCTCTAAGCAGTTTGCAGAGTCAGCCTATTGCCCCCAACAATCTGGGTCCTCATTTTACCAACCTCGAAAGGATGGAAGGCTGAGTCAATCTTGAGCATGGTGAGAATCAAACTGCTGGCAGTTGGCAGAATTAGCCTGCGATACTGCATTCCAACCACAATGCCACCATGGCTCTTCTGAGTTGTGCAGCTATGTTGACTTTGGGATCTTGCTACTTCTAGGTCATGTGATGACCCAGATTTCCACATTCCTGCAAAAGATTCATGCATATGTCTCATGAGATACAGAGGTGAACTGTTTCAGATAACAAAATATGTTCAGATGATCCCATCATAGCTTTCTTCCTGAATGAGAATAGCAGAAAAAAGACATTTGGAGTAGAAAAATAAAAAGGAAGACTTGGACAGGTTCTGTTATGTACTGTGTGACCTCTTGTGTGGGTAAAGGACTCTAGGGGCAAAAAAGAATTCAAAAAGAAATTGGTTGTTTGTTTGACTCATGACAAAGGAGCAGCGAATCTCAAGGAATATAATTTATTCTTTCCGGAAATGTTAAGAAGACTAAATGTTTTTGATAATAAATAACATTACGGTTTCAGGCTTCAACATTATAGCTGTGAATGTTAGACTTATTTTGTGCATTATCTTGCACACTTTGAACCATCCTTCCATTATTTCTATGCAATTAGTGTGAGTTTTTGAAAATAGAAATTGATTCTTTTATGCAAAAGTGTTTGGGGAAAGTCAAAGTCACTGTGTGCCCCCACCTTCCTATCTTCCCCTTACCCTTTTACCTGTCATCCAGACAGTTTTACATCAGTGAATCTGATTTTATTCTCATTGATGAAGACAAATATACTTGCCCTAGGATAATGTTGCCGGTTCCAATCTGCAGACAGTACAGGATAACAAAAACAAGGACAAATAGGCTGAAAAACAGCTTCTATCCCAAGGCAGTAACTCTACTGAATTCTACTGTATAGTGCAACTATAGTGCAGTATTAATGCAACATCAGGGGTTTTCAATATTGAATTCTATACATTGAGTATAGAATGTGAATGATGCAAGTTTGTGTTTATTTTCATAGTCATAATGTACACTGAATATCGCATTTAATTTCATTGTACAAGGTGCAATGACAATAAACTAAACTAAACTAAAATTTGGGGTGGGGAGAGAGAATGTATGTATGTATGTATGTATGTATGTATGTATGTATGTATGTATGTATGTATGTAT